GTGTAAAGAGGTAAGTGGGCTCCCAGGAAGGTGCTCACATGCCAACTGCATCTCATATTCAAGTTCTGCCTATAAAGTTTAAACTCATTTTTTCACCGTGATGAGTTGATCTGAATTGATTAGAGGTAAATGCAAACAATCAGGTTGTCTACTTACTGAGTACCTAGTTCTGCCCCCCTGTAGGTAGATACCAAAGATCTACTGTTGTAATGATGCCAACAGTCCTAGTACTATAGCAGTTATTATACAATTGTGCAAAACAGGGTTTAAGCTATTTTAAAGAATTTTTATCTAGGTTTTGGCCTCAGAATGCTAAAAGAGATGTCAGGAAAATCCTGTCCTTTATACATACTTGAAAGGTAATTGGAAATGATAGAAGAAAATGGGGAAGCACTCATTTACAAGAACATGGAGGAAGCAACTGGTGCAGAGGCATGATGAATGGAACAGGAACAGTAATGTGCGGAGGCATTTAAGACTCTGACTGTTCCAGATTATGAAAACTGTAATAACAATTTCCTGGTATTTAAGGTAGCTAGGATTGCTGCTACACAGCATTCTAGTAGAAATTGTCTGGAATAAGCCGATCTCTGTTTATCACTTGCTAATAAAATACACATTTAAAAAATTAGAGAGCCCTCCATCTCAAGGAAAAATCTAAATAGACATCAGGTATCAGCTTATTTTCTTGAGGGAAAGGGATGATACATTCAGAGGCTATTGTAAACATTACATTTTGTAGCTATTGCTAGACTTTTAGAAAACGTAGAGTTTTGTTACCAGAAAAAAGATGTAGTGAACTAAGGAGTTTGTGTGCATGGTAAATGTGTACATCAGAAAAGTTACTACATTGAAATAAAGCTTCATTCCACTGATTGCGACTTGAACCATGTGTAAATCTGTACATGAGAGCAAGATGTATACTGACCAGGAAAACACAAAGTTTCCTCTGTTAAATATGGTTGTTATCTCCCAGTGAGAGTGAGTTAGGATATCACCGGGGATTTCAACTGAAAACATGAAGTTACTGCATAAAGCTAAAGCACAATCAGGTTCTTCACAGAGTAAGGGCAAGCAGTAATCCCCATAAGGGTGCTTCCAAAGAACTGCAACATCCATTACTTCATAGCAGTCTCACTTCCATAAAAACAGATTCATAAAGTGAAATGTCATTTCCTTATGTAATTATATTTTAATATATTTTAAAACAGTCATGTCCTAACAAGTCATGCTTTCAGTGTAATTAACAAGTGACCTTATTTAGCATCTAACTATTGTGGACCTGCTGTATTAAATTCAGTTTATGATAGGTGTTTCTCTGAAAATGAAAATGGAAACATATGGGTTGTATAACTATGGAAACATAGGGCTGAGAGAAACCTCAGGAATCATTTATGCCTGAGAGTACCATGTAGACCTCAAGATTTGGCCACCCTCTGTTTAAATCCTGTTGCAGGCTTTGCTGCAGCTGACCTGTAGTTAAGTCCTTTAGAAAAACAGTGAGCTGCTTTTGAAAAGCATCTCAAAATGATTGGATGGATACATTTCTGGAGGGAGCCTTTGTTATAATGTTCGAAAACAATTGCTCTTTTTATCCGAGTCATATATTGACCAAAGCATGTTAAAACTATTAAATCAGGCATTTACTAAAAAGCCCTCAGAATTAGTTTAAAAACTGATTAATTAGACCCATGCTGCGACGACATTACTGTTCTGATATTAGTTCCAACTGAAGCCCAGTTACACTGCAGTACTTTCATTAGTTGCTCTGCGTAAATTAACTGGGAAAGAATGCCGTATGTTTTCAATAATTGAATAATTTTAATGGGAAAGAAGGAGTTCTTTTCTTTTAGACAATAAGAGTTAGTGGTAGAATATGTAGTATGCATAAAATTGGCTTTGCAATCATTTTCATTTGCAGAAGATTGGTTTACAACAATTCATCTTTGTGAAGGGCTTATAATCAACTAGAACTTAGATTTACATATGGTTAGAGTTATTTTGTAAAATACCTGTAATACAGTGTACAGCATAGTACCTTTTGATGAGCACTATTAGCTAGATTCTGTGACTCGAATGGGAGTTGGAAAAAGCTTCTAATGAGAAAGGTACTATAAAAATGAATTAACTGGTGCCAATGACTGACAGCAGCTAAAAGAGCTTCCATCTTAAATCTGTCTACTTTGGTAGCATGAGAAGTACTTCAAGATAGAACTGTAAAATTGTGCTAATGTTAAAACAAATCTCAGCTCTTCAAGTATGCTAATGAAAAATAACTAAATACCAGAAATACTTAGGACTGCTTAGCTGTGGAAAGAGGTTTAAGTAAGAAAAGGAAATTATAATGCAGATCAGAAATAGTGATTAGTTTCTCTTAATTTTATTTATTTCTAAGAATTAAAAAACTGTTTTTGTGTATTTTCTTGATTAGGTTGTAGAGTTTTCCATGTTTAATGTTGTGTGAATAATATAAAACTTCAGATCATTCATTCTGGAGCTTTTCATGTGACATATAGAAACTTACATATATTCTCTGTGAAAACTGCAACTTTATGTCCAGCTCATGTAGACCTCCATGATACCTTCTGTATTTTTTGGATACAAGAAATTAGTACTAAAGCATGTTACTTTGAAATGAAGTATTTTAATTTAGTTTTCACATACCTTCCTGGTCAAACTAAAGGGTAAATAAGTCAATATTCATCAGCATTTAAATTCCTTCTCTATTTATACATAATTAGGTCACATGAGAGAAAATAACAACAAGGCTGAATTTAGAATAATATACTTCATTATAAAAATGGAAAAATACTGGAAATCCAAAACAGCTTTATCCCCTGGCCCCTTCCAGTCTTCTGCTGGGCTCAAGTACAGTGGCTGCTGAATCAATGTAGTGTAATCATTGCTCTATTTCTTTTCTGTATCCATAGATTGTCTGCAACATAGGAGCTAGATGAGATTTGGAGTTAGACAGCCACTGATAACAATTCATACCCAGCCTATATCTACCTTAATTTTCATAGGTCTCTAACATGTTGTGATGATGTCATGAAATATACTGGCACCAATGGAATGTATGACATTCCTACAGGTAAAAGGCTGGCTAGTGAGATTGTAAAATTTGACAGCATTGCATGAGATGCCTGTTTCCACCCTGCAGCTGCAGGTTGCATTACTGCAGACATGTTCTAACTTGCTGGCACAGTAAACACAAGGATCAGTGAAGCAGATTGGCTTGTACCAAATAGGGATGACTCACTTGCTGCTTGGCCTAAATGCTGTGTTTTGATCTCATTTTCCTGCTCGTGTTTTATCATGGAATCCCATGTGACCAAGTGCATCATGGCACTGACTCTGGACTTGCATTTTTATTATGTCTGCTAGTTCTGATTAGTTCCCTACAGCTGGTACTCTGGGCAATGGTTCCAAAGTCCAAGGCCAGTACCTAAACTCCTGCTGATTATGTTTAAGCTTGTTAAAAGCATGCTACTTTGTCTCAGAAACTATGTATCTTCTTTCAAAAACAAAACAAACAAGCATAAACTATCCAGTAAGCAGGTTTTAATTATTTTGAACCTTTTATACCATCCTGAATTACATTTTCATTCTGATCAAGACTATTGTAGTACAAGCAGAAACAGATGGAGTTTTGGTAATGATCCAGGCTGCAGATGTAGTCAAAGGCCATCTCTGACTTGCATCATGGAGGCATTTAGCCTAACCAGATTGCACAATGAATTATTTTACCTAAAATGTAGTGGCTTGATTCTCACATGGCAATGATCCCACTTCTGTCCCAAGAGTTATCTGCTCAGTTCCAAGGATTAGTCGTCTTTCTACCCTCATGGTCTGTTCTGATGAGTCAAAAATCCACACAGGAGGCTGGTGCCTCCTCCTTTCTGAGGTGATCCTCCTGGGTCTTCTTAAGAATTATCTTTATCTTGAAGATAATTCTTGCTTTCTTTGCAGTCTTTGGTGTTGAGGATTCAGTAAAATGCCCCCCCCCCCCCCCAAAAAAATAAAATTAATGAACAAAAAGCATATTCAAGATTGAAAGGTAAACACAAGTGAAAACTCAACATTTTAATAATCAATTTTATTCTGGTTAAGAAAAGGTATGACTAACTATCTAATCCATTTAGAATACCCAGTTCTCCTACTTGCCTTTTGGAGGAGTTCTTTTTCAGTGGTTTCAAATTTAAATGTTGCATTTAACACAACACTATATATTCACTGTATTATTTTACATATTATATATATGCAGTATAAAATTCTGTTGTGTATTAAAAACAGTTCACTGCATGTCTGAGGGGCACTATCTTCATTCTACCTCATTTCAAATGGTTGTCACCGCTGTTTTCTGTATTCCTCTATGTTAGCAATTTTTGTAATCCTTTCCAGTAGGTAGCTTCTAAAGATCAGAAGTGTTTTTTTCACTCTAAAGTAGTCAAATGGAAATATTGCCATTTAAAATGAATTGTGCATTCTCTGTCCAGAAACTGTATTGTACCACTTGAATTAATGGTGAAAAGTGGTTGCTGTGATTATTGTATAACTAACAAAAGAAAAGAAGAGAGAAAGAAAATTGCAGCAGTTACTCAGGCGGATTGCTGGAATATTACAAAGAACAGTAGCCACCTTTTACTTCACTGTAGCCCTTGCATAAAAACATGAAGGGCTAATAAACCAGCAGCATTTAAGTAAAGTTGACAGATGATGCACTCTATTGGCACTCATAGAGATGCAGCAGAGCATGCAGCTTGACCTGGGCAAAGAGCATCCTCCAGTGGGGGTGGAGGGAAAGACACTCCCTGTAAAATAAAATGGGAATGGCAGAGTTTAACAGCTGCAGTGTTAGAAAAGACAAAGATTATATTTTTTTCAACTGAGAGAAATATTAGATTGGTCATTTACTGAAGATAGGAATCCGGTTGTTTTAACAGTAAAATAATGTGGCTTACTTGCTCAAAATACAGCTAGGTACAAACTTTTGATTTCAGGTCAAGAAGAAGTTAAACTGAGTACTAGAGAGCTTTAAAACTGAAGAAGAGACTGACAAATAGCATTACATATTTGAAATCTTTTTGATAACTTCAGTGGTTTGGGACTTCCTGGGAAGGTTTTAAAGGTAACAGATATTCCCACTGTCTCATTTTGGGAGACATGTTTCTGTGATGCAGAGCTACCCTAGATGAAAAAGAAAGGGGGGGAGGGGGGAACCCAAAAGAAAATCCCCAACAGAGCAAAACCCAGCTATTTTTTCCAGTGGCAAAGCAGCAAAATGAAGTATAGACGTGTGTGTGTGTGCGCGCGCATACATTTATCACAGACACACGCTTCCTAACTATTCCGTGATTCTATGATCTCAAGTAAAAATACTTTTTTAGTATTCTGTTGTGCAGCAGCTGTTGCTACTCGATAAATTATTCCATTACTTTATTTGTTACAAGGACTTGCATTTTGAATAAATACATGTGTTCAGTAGTAATGTGCCAGTTTGTTAGCCTCTCTAGCATAGCTTTATCAGAGAAACAAAGGCAGATTTGGGGTTGTTCTTGCTGCTTCACTAGCTTTCAATTGTGTTTTTGGGCTTCTGTGTGTCCACCACCACCCAAGGTGGGCTGTAGTTCGTGCAGCTCTACATGTCAAATGCTGCTCTTTGCAGCACCCTGCTACCTCCCCACCTTTCTCCTGCCAACATTCCCACCCGAATGGCTGTCCCTGTGGCACATGATAGTGGGATGGTACCTTTTCACTTCTGACATGGAAGATGCATGAAGCCAGATAAAGACAGGTTTCTTTCTGGTTCTTAGCAAGATGGCTTCTGTCCTATGGCGCTTGCAGTATTTCTTTTTATTAAGTAACAAAATGTTGCTATTGTCGAAACTGTATAGAAATGTGTTAATGTTGAAATGCATTAACAGTCTGAATATCCAAATAAATGCTGAGGAAGCGCCTGGAAGGAAAATCTCTCTTTGCAAACCTAATTTGGGCACAAAACTTGCAACGTTGAACTTATTGTTAAGAATAGCTTAGACTAACCTATTCCAGCTTTATTTTTAAAATAATTTAAAATAGGTTAAATCATTTAATTATTTTATTATTCAGTAACTTGCTTTGAGGATATCTCATTCCTAATAGTTATACAGAGTGAATATCTGTGATTTTTGTTAGAGTCAAAAAAGTATGGAGTCAATCTTCAGGGACGGAAGAAGGTGATTACTGATAATAACCTTGTCTAGTTCCCTGTCAACACTGAAGTATTTCATCAGAAAGTTGTAGGGTTTTATTAACTTTAAATACTCAATGGATCATTTTCAGTCATGGACTTCAGAGGAAGAATTCCACGCTGTAGAAAGTCTAACATACCTATTTTGTCTTATATAATTGAACATATAAACTAGGGGCTGTAAATATTTCCCACCTTGAAAATACTTTAAAACCTTTCCACTTTGTTATTCCACTCTTTATTCATTGTTAGCTGAGCATTTTTAATGGGTTCAATGTTTTCTTTGGTGATGATCTTTCTTTCTCCCTCACTACATTTTTTACCGTGTCTCTCATTGCATGGTTAGTTGGGATTTAGTTGTGGTGGGGGGGTTGTAGGGTTTTTGTTGTTTTTGTTTGTTTGGTTGTTTTTTTTTTTTTTATTTGTATGATAGTTGTTAAAATTCATCATACAGATTTCCCTTAAAGCTGTGGAAAAAATTCCACCATAATTCTTCTTTATGAGCATTAACATCATAATTATTTCTTTCAAGGCTGTTAATGGGAACAGAAATGCAGACCTGAATTCATTTGCATGTATATGCTGGTAGAAGAGGGTGTTTGGAAAAACTAACTAACTAAATATTTGGTCTCTTCCAAATGGAGATACCTTTCCTGTCATGTTTTTATTGTGTGTTTGTATAGTAGTAATGCCTAGAGCTCAACCCTGAAGATAGAGACAATTTGGGAAAAATGTTCCCATTGTTAGTTTTCCAGATAAAAACTGATAGTCATACTTCTGGTTAGCTGTCAGTTGTCTGTTGGATTACCTTGGTGGTATCTGTGGTTTGGTGTTATTTCAGTAAGATTGGTGTTCTGGATAGTACCATTGAGACCAATCTGTGGATTTTGATACTTTGTCTAGCTCATTTCCCGATAACTTCCCTATACCTTTTATATGGTTTGCTGCCTATTCTATCCAGATGACAGAGACTGTGAAACTGAACTTCTTAATGAAGACCACAACATTCAAACTCATATTTTCTAATTGTGCAAGTATCTGTTTAGAGACAGTGAAAATGGGACTGCATCCCAAGGGCAACCTTGAAACGTGTGTACATCAACTTCCTAGCATGAACCATCTAAGAACAATCCCAGTGATGGTTTGTGTTCAAATTTTACATCCTGAAAATTATTATAAATGCTCCTGTGAGTGTATTATGTGGAACAGCCTCACCTTTAGGGATTCTTATTTGTGTACATGTGCCATATATAGACATAATCAAGTAAAAACTTTGAATCAGAATTTGAATCATTCTGCAGTCATTGCCTTTCTCATGGAAGTGAATGTGTACTGTAAGTCTGATTCTGAAACTTCCATTGTTGTAACTAAGTTTTGTAGGTAATTCCGTGGAAAGAGGAAGTGGAGCTGATTGAAACTTTATAGATCTTTGGTGTTAAGAAATCTTGAACTAAATATTGTTGGAGTGGGCACTTCTGTAGTTGCACAGTGTCTTGCCCTGATGAAAGGGCCAAGGTTTTTAGTGCTTGTTCATATTACCTTTTTGCTGCAATACACTGTATGGTTAAGCTTTAGTACAATCTTCATTTTGAGAAAATGGATGGGTTTTGTTACTCTTCCTATTCTGCCACCAAGTAATAGGAGAGTGCAAAGGTGCCCTCTAGTTATTAGACCATTCTGTTGCTTTCTGATAGATACTCTGAGTAATGTTGGTAGGTTCTGAAAGCTCATTTTATCTCTACTTACATCTCACCTTGATCCACCTAGGCAGCAGTTATTTAATTCAAGAGCCAATTTACTTTAATACTGGGAAAAACTTAAGGGATTATTTGTGCCCTTTACCTAATAAGGAGCTGGCTGGGCTGGGTGTTGACTGAGCATTGCTGTTGCTCCAGTCTCACCCAATCTATCAGTTGCTTCACAATTGCTAATAGTCTGAAATGAAGAACTATAAATTACTTTTGTTTCTTTCACCATTTCCTAGTGTTGGATCAGGAGTGATTTATGAACTGCAGCATATAACACTATGGAGCAAATACCCATAGAAAAGTCCTCCTGTATTGGGTTTTTTGGCGTAGGCTAAGGCAATGGCAATGCTGCTATAGTCTGAGTGTCCTGCTAATGCATAACTGGGTGAATCAAGCTAACAGTGGCATTGCTCCTTTTCTGTTATTATTTCTGCATTCATTTTCGGAAGTAACAAGAGGAAGGATCAAGAGTGGTTAAAAAAAACAAAGGCCTTTGATTCAGTAAAATTGCGACACAGAATATGCTATCGAAGGATATGAAAATCTAGTTTTGAATGAAGACAGTAAAATTCACCTTTCTCTTCAACTTAAAAAAGAAAAATAAACAAAGTAAACGAAGACAGCAGTTGGAATCAGCAGAACAAAGTAGAAAGAATCCCAGTACCAGGTAAAAAAATCTAAAGTCTTATTAAAAAGAAAAGCTGTCATTTAATCACTGTTGCCATCTTTTTACCAGATATTCTAGTAGTTTGGCTTATACCACCATCTGCTGGACACCAGGTGGAAGTGTTCGGCTCATTCTGCGTTTTCACGACTAAAGCATAAAAAATCTGTTTAAGAAATGCTGCAGTGTCCATAAGGCCTTCATATACATCTCTGATTCTGACCTGACAGTAGATTTAGGTATAGATTTTTTAAATCTCATTCCATTGGCATAAAAGTGGAAATTGGATAGCATGGTAAAAGTTGTTCAGGCAGATGCTTTTGGAAACTTCAGCCACTCATATTTTCAGGTGCACTTTGGAAGCTGGTAATCATCACCTAGAAACTCTGATGGAAGCATTAAAAGTTTTAGTGTGTATTGCAGGTTCACTGTGGCACTTGCTCAGTTGATAATTCATAGAAATATTATTCCTTAGCATTCACATCCTGCATGTGCCACATCTAAAGAATGGTGTTCTAGTGTTAACAACCTATTTTACCCTTCTGTGTTTTCAATAAACTGAAATAGAGACATGCCAATATGTATAAATTAAAATGCCAAGCCTTTAGACAAATTTCTGCAGAATTTACAATCGGTAACTATGAATTTGTGGGTTTGGCAACCATTTTCACTCACTGCACATGAGAAACTGAATGATGCAGTACTGAGTTCTGTATGACTAGGAAGGGAATTAGGTAATTCTGCTGATGTATGGATGTATTTCTCATGAGCTCTAAAGCTTATATAAGCACATTCCAACCCTCCAAGCAAATATAAGTCCCTGCGAGGTGATGTCAGTTCATCCTTTGGACTGGTAACGTAGAGGGACTTCCCAGCTCTGGCTGTTTCTGCCTGTCCTTTTCCTCCCCCTTCCCAAGACAGACCTTCCATTCCAGAAGGAGAAGCAGAATGAAACCAATAATCAGCCTTCTGGAAAATCTCTACCAGCAAAGCAGTTTTTCACTTTAAAATGTTGGCCAGAATAAGGTAGGAATTGTGGCAGTAATTTCTCTGTAAATACAGCCTTTCTGCTGTACTTTTTCATGGGTTCAGCATGATCAGGGGATACTTCTTCCCCAGGCAGCAGTCCTGGGTGTTACTTCTCTCTGTTTGCAGCCTGGGACATTTGTCATCTAGGCTCTGATATTCCTGAAGACTCAGGGTTTGAGCACTATGCCTCCTTTTGCACAGGAGGATGTAAGCCATATTACAGTGCTTGTCTGAGTTCAAGAGTGGATTAAATTGTCACCGTAGACAGAACTGCTATGAATTCAGACAATCCCCTTGAATTTAAGTCAGTAATTCATTAAAAGAAATGGAAGCCTTTATTATGGACTTTAATTTCCACGTTGCTAAACCCACAAATGAGTAAGTGAAAGTTCATTCACTACTGTGCATGAGTAGCTCATTCGCCTCTCTCAGCTTCATCCACTGGCCTGTGCCTTGGA